TTCTTCTTCCTCTCCACACGCACTGCATACCGTGTCTACCCCTTCGTATTTGGCCCGATATGTCTTGGTTCGCAACACTTCCGTCCTGGCCTCAAACAGTAGAGAACTACCTCGAGTAATATCATAGATCCTTTCCTTGGAAATTTCCTGCTTAAATGTTCGATAGATCTCTAGTGCGGACTTCCTAATCATTTTAATTCTCCACATATCGGTCTCAGCTTCCTTCACCTTCTTCTTAACTGATAATTCTTTTTGGTTTGGCCCCCTGCTGTTTTGCAAGTATTTACCAGTCAATTTTCTGGTTCGCTTCCGCCATTTTGTATCAACAATCTTCATGTACAAGTAGCTGAATACCTTCCTAGCCAAACGCTCCTCCCCCATTTCTCTCAATCGCTTCTCAAATTTTATCTTGCTGCTAGCTTCCCTGTAACTAGGCGCCGCAGCGCCGCCTAGTGGTTTCCATGTAAACGGTCTCTCCGGGAGGACCGCCCGCGTCTCACTACCCCTATCTAGTTCACTATAGTGAAACCTTAAACTCATACTCACCGCCATAAGCCTGACTACGCACACTGCAAGGCAAGGGCCTTTTCCATGTCAGTCAACCCAGTCCTTTGCTTTTTCCTCCCACTCTATACCCACAAACTTCCTAATTTCACCTGTCCACCTGCCCCGCCGCGGTGGTCTAGTGGCTAAGGTACTCGGCTACTGACCCGCAGGTCGCGGGTTCGAATCCCGGCTGCATTTCCGATGGAGGCGGAAATGTTGTAGGCTCGTGTGCTCAGATTTGGGTGCACGTTAAAGAACCCCAGGTGGTCGAAATTTCCGGAGCCCTCCACTACGGCGTCTCTCATAATCATATGGTGGTTTTGGGACGTTAAACCCCACATATCAATCAATAAATCAATCAATCAATCACCTGTCCACCTAACTTTCTGTCTACCCTCACGCACGCTTGCCGTCTTAGAAGTTTGGTACCAACCTTCATTGAATTCCTATTCAAACATGAAGACACCACTGCACGAGACAATGACATTTGCCTGCAGGAGTTCTCATCATAACGCTTGTTAGAGAAAATCTGCTGCATATGGCAATACCCTAAAACACTTCGAAGTAAGTACACTGCAATCAAATAATCAATCAGATAAACAAGGAGAGGTGCGCAAATCACAGTACTTCTCTAAACATGCATAGTAAACACAGTTTGGGAATTCGCCCAAAGTGCATTTTTGTGCAAACGTAAAGAAGGTGCTGTACAGCCAAGTCATCTTTTTGCAATCAATGTAATGACTTTATTACATTGCAAGTAATAATGCAAGAACCATACAATAAAATCAACTCTGAAAAACATTTTAGTTCAGTACAAACACCGGGGCTGTCTTTTTTTTTTCACAGGCACGGATAATACACACGGTTTAAAACTGCATTGCTTAGTGCCCTCGACACAGAATACAAGGAAAATGCAATTCTCGGAGAGCCATTCAGCACTTTAATCAGTCGTGAAATTCCTCACAATACTTTTTCCTTTACGAAATTCTTTTGTCAAGACCAGTGACATTGTAAAGTACCCATTGTAAAGTACTGCTATTGCAAAGTACTGCTGTTGTAAAGTACATTATAAAGTACTGCTGTTCAGTGAGCTACGATTTGTGAGAATGAACGCTAAACCTGACAGTAAAAAGCCAGAGAAGTTATTCCACTCTAATTTAAAAATTGGCACATGTAATAGTAATAAGCAAATTTTTTCAGTGAAGCTATCACTTGTTAATATAAGGGTAACTCAGTGAAACAGTACATATAATTTGAGAACTACATCCCCTAAATTTTTGGATCTACGATGCTGTTAAAGAGTGCAGAGCATATATTAGAATGAAATGCAGATATATCTATAGCTTCACCTTGATTCTAAAATGTGCCTGTAACATATAGACATAGTTATGAGCTTCTTCGTATGCATCTGATTAAAAGGTTCTGAGCCTTATCCAAAGTTACAAGGTTGGGTCTGTGAATTCTATCATGAGACTACCCCTGGCCTAATTCAAGTACACTCCGTAGGACACTTAGGAACGTACTCATAAAAACTTTCATCTGCAGCCTAATGGCGTGCTACAATATAAGAACAATTACAGCTGATTGAAAATAAACAGAAGTTTGAAGAATTCCACAACAGGTAGCAGTACTAAATGGCCCTGTGCTGTACATGAACCTGCACTGTGCTTGAGAGTGTGCTGTTTGGTATCACAGTCTTCTGGTGCCATTTACTTGAAATATCACAGACGTCTTGCATGTGCGTGTCACATACATCTACAACGGTTGCATTGAAGTATGTGATAGCACCGAGTTATTTAAACACTACTCTGAAAATACTGACTAAATATATTAGGAAATGTAAAGGGCAGAAAATATGTCGGTAATAATGGCACACCAGAGGAATGGTTTTAGTTCTTTGGCAGTGGGCATTGAGGTGCAGTGGGAAACACTGGCACAAATGGTGTACTGTTTGTTAATAGTAACATTTGACCAGCACATACACCCGATGTTGGTGAAAATTTTTTAACTAGTGAAGGATGTGTGTGCGTTGTGACAGTGCAATGAGGTGCACCACGCACCATGAAGGTCACAAATGTAACATGTAAAACACAACCTAAAATGTGGGCATCCATAATGAATAAAGCAGGACTTCTACAGATAACTATCAACAAGAACACAGAAAAAAAAACATGAGTATGACAAAAACGTAGAACAAGAATGTTTCTTCATCTTGCATGAAAAAGAAAGGTGCTATGTTGGAACATTTTTTTTTGTCATCAAGGACAACTTTTTTTAAAGCACTACTACGTTCCGAAGGACTCAAAAACACAAACTAGCAAACAGACAACTTGTAAACTAAACTTTTAGTTTCTTCAAAACTCGGAAAAAAGGGCGCCAAGCTCTATGGCTCAGAGCTAAAAGGTTATAATCTGAATAAGAGTTAAAGGGTTACAGTGTGAATACATGCTCTACAGACATATAGTAGCTCTCTGAATCAGTAAAGTTTACAAAGCTACTAGAATGTCTGAGATTATGTCGGCATGGAACACAGACATCGGACCTCAAAGTGGTCACAATGCCAGCATGGCACAAAATACCAAGTGCATTTGGAAGGATGGCTAAAGTTTCATGAGACTTACATAACCCTTGGCTTTGGGTTATGTAATGCCTTCCCAACCTACTTCATTGCTAGTGGCAAATTAGGATGCCGTTTGTAAATGGTTAAGTGACATGAGACATTACTATGCTCCGAAAACTACCAGAAGAATTGAAATTGAGAAACAGTTTTGACAGGCTACTGTTGAGTTTTCATATTTTTTTTGGTGGGGTGGGCATTAATAACGTTCAGTATTAGAAACAGAGGCTATAATGCAAACAGTCACAGAAATATAAACCGACGATATGCGTGTCAGGTGAGAATGGCAGTGAGATGTATGTTGTGGTAGGGCAAGTGGTGCTACCACAGTGGCATTACCATGGGTACACATAGTGGGGGACAATTTATGAACATATATCTGTTTTATGTGTGTACGTCTGGTGGACATGTAAGTACTTGTTAGTGAACAACTACGAGAAGGACTAGATGTGGAGATCATTTTTACCTTTCGTGCAGCGATAACTCAATAAGTTATATAGCACAAAACTTGAACACACACACACACTAAATTGTAATGCAAGTAAACAATGCTCATTTCACAAAAAACACACAAGTAGGATATACTACGACAAGTCGTAAAAAACATGTATTGAAAGTAGTGGTGAATCTCATTCGGCTGTACGATATGTGCAATATGACAGTTGCACCGTTGCGTTCGTTTCACTTCCCTACATGAAATGTTCTTAGATTGGGCTTCCTTATGTCAATATCATGCCTGCTTTTGAAATACAAAATATTTCATTTAGCACTGGTTGGAAAACAGATCAGATTGATCAATTGTTTGTAAGCTTTTATAACACAGTGCTTGGCAACGTGTAATCACAGGTGCAATCATAGGTGCAAGAACAGATGAGAAAACAAATTGGTTTAGAAGAAATATTGGTAACCTCCTGACCATCTCAAAATAAGGAAAATGAATTACAGGCAGAAAGTATTAGACTAGTATGGGTACACGTTTAGCACCAGTATATAGCATTAAAATGACTTCGCTATGGTTGGAATATCCATAAAATGTGCCCGGTGCCAACATAACATTTTCTTTGGTTTCGTCGTTCTGCCCTGTAAACAATGGAAGGTTTCAAAAACACACACACTCAAGAGCTTACATAACTCTATGCTTGTACTGAACGCTACAAATAGTAAACAAGAAAGCTTTTTCACATAGAATAAAAAATGTACTATAAACACATAACAATTAAAAGCAACCTTAAATGTGCTTGCTGACACTTTTTTTTTCATTTTTCATAAAAACGAGGTCGATACGAACTCAAAATATTCAAAAAACTCGAAAATACCTAGTAGAGTACACAATACAAAATTCGTCACTTCGACATAGCAAAAATACACATTTAAAAAATCGCATCAAAGTATACTTTCAATAGCCGGCGAGCAGAAAAGTAGATTTTAAGCTCAACCATTGTCATAAAAACCTGAAGAAACGAAAAGCTTGAATTTGTAAAGTGAAATAGAAAAAAGTGAGTTGTTTGAAGCAGTGCGCAAGCGCCGAATGCATTGAGCTGCTTGAATTCACACATAAATGTAAACTGCTTTCATGCACACGTAAAGGCTACAGTTTCAAATGAGAGATCTTGCTTGTCACTAATTTTCACTTTTGTTGCCATGGTAAAACTACGTGACGGAAGGGCAGAATTGGCAAGTGGTTAAAAGTTCAGCATACCGCTCAATCCTAGTAGCTGCTGTCCCAAAGGAACGTCAGCGTCAATGTATGCGATACTGCTGCGTTGGTCAAGCTTCATACGTTGCTGGGTGAACCTGAGTATGAGTTTTTTTTAACGTAAACATGGCATGGCCCTGCTGCGAAAACAGAATTTCCTACAAGCAGATCCCCGAGTTGCTGTCGCCCATGAACGAGCAACAGGAACTGAAAAATGTTAAGCATCTCTACAGTAAGTTCGATTACGAACGACAACCACCACAAAATAGAGTTCAAAATTGGTTTACCAGTTACGCCCACAAGGCCATCGAAAGGTGTACTTTGTTACAGCTCAAATTACTGCGCATTTGCGGTCAGCATAGTTCATTTTATGACACGCTTGAGGAAAGCATCAATGCCAATGAAATACATTTCTAAAGAATGGGAAATCCTGCAAGCATGAAAAATTATTATAGTAAAGAGGCACGACTGCTGTTCCAGTAAGAAAAGGGAACCACTGCGCTTTGACTTTTACAGTGTGAGATACACGCTATTTCAACCTTCTTGACTACACGCCAAGAAGGAAAGGAACAATTCAGTCCTTTTTCGGAAACAGGTGCAGTTAGATATAATGCAAGCAGCTTTTCTATATTCAGAAGAGTTCTGAATTTGAGTGTAAAAACATTTCTTTCTAGCTAATTCTATGTGTTCTTGGAAGACTTTAAAGAGTATCAACAATCTCGGCACAATGCTGATAGTCCAAAAAAAATTGAAGATGCAAAAAAAAAAACTCAGAAGGTAGGCAAAAGTGCATTCTTCAGGGATCTCATAAAAGCATTGAATGTGACAAGAATGCAGGAACAAAATGGACAAACGGGTCAACACGACTACAGTAGAGAACTGTAAGGAGATTCATGGTCTAAAATGTAATGTCTTGGACGTCCGTCGGCGTGTCTGGTTGACTAAAGTTGGAGTCGGCACCAGAGGGCGCCTCAAGTGCATTGCTTATGTTGGTTCCGTACGGAGTCAGTGTTGCACTGTCCCCTTTGGCTTGTGACTGTGGCTGTCCCAAGGCGGCTATATTGGATGCCATTAGAGTCTCGATTTCTAGGACACAACGTCGAATGTCCACCTGAGAAGTAATGAATGATTGGAAAGTTCATTATTCAGGATACCAACTAGGAGATTTTGAAAATTTCGGATTGGTAAAGTAAAAATAGTTGCTGCATTAGAGCAAACAAAAAGATTAGAAAATGTAGAGTAGCATACTGTGTCATACACTGCAATCAAAACACGGTTTATAGATAAGTTGTACACTTGAACTTTGATATAATGAATTAGGTTATAATAAATTATCTGTTATAACGAAGTAAGTGACCAATTTATTTGCCATAAATACAGTGTTCTAAATATTCATTTATAACAAATTTTCGAATATAATGAAGTATTTTCGTAGCAGATGTGACTGTTATAATGAGGTTTGAGTGTATAACATCAAAAGGCAAGCACTAGCCATTATATGGCCTACTCACTTGATCAAAACATACACCACCAGTATTTCAATTCCCTGCTGCATTGCTGTTTTATATAAATATACCTGGTGAGCATTGATCTAGATTTTCGGTTGCCTTCTGCAGCGTAAGCGTGTGTGATTTATTTAAACTAATCGTTGTCACATTGAACTAACAGTCACGAGTACCGCTTTTTGTTATTTTCTTGTCCCGTGTTTTCTGCGGTCTCTTTTCAAATAATTTGGTTCTCACATGCATGACATGACCGTGCTTGCTTCAACATTTGCATTCAAGCACGTGAAACTGCCTTTCCTGTTAACGCAAAATGCAATTTTATATTGCTTTCGTCATGTTTGGCTCATGTAAAACTATGTTGCACACATCAGGATATATTATGGTCTAGGTTACTTCTCACTCATGTGTAATAATGTTATACACCCCAATAATATTGTTCTGCACTGGGTTGCAAGAGCAGCTATTCATTGCAGGAATCTCAAGCAAAGTTACCTGATTCAATGCGTTTTCTTAAGCATCAGAGCTGCACTGCACTTACCGTCCGGACGTGCGTAATCCTCTCAAGGGCGGATGTCAGTTCGTCTTGAGCAGTAGTTGTAAAGAGGTGTCCCCTGAGGCCATGCACAGCGGCGGCCACGCTGGATGTGGCTATAAGGGCTGGGCTGTAGCTCATGAAGTGGTACTCTGGAACAAATGCAAAAAAAAAAAAAAATAGTGAACAATGTGTCTCGTGGCCACTACAATAGCTTGAATAGCAGAATGTTCAGAATGAACAAAGCTAATGCTGCAAAGCGCACGCTGGATTCACTATGTATCACTCATTCAAACACGGAATTAACGTCTCCAACCAGCCCTAAAAGAAAAGCCTCGTTCTGAAACGTGGAAAACGGTAGCATGAATATGTGTTCAACATAATGCCACGGAGCTAGAAGTGGAGCGATAAACAGAATTACGAGAACGATAATGATCATGAGAACTGTCATGTGATGTCCGGCTGTGCCGCGCTTTCACTGTATTGCATGTTGTGCCATTGGTATTTTTCTTACAACAAATTTTGTCTGCTAAGTTTGAAGGAGTAGTCGGTGCCGCCATAATGATGCCAACCTCTCCTATTTCATCATTTCAATAAAAATAAAATTATGAGAACAATAATGAAAGGTGGTGCCTGTAGTGTGCTGGTAGACAGACTGAACGCTCTACTGAATGTGTCAACATCACCTCGTACACGTTATAAAAGTTCCTCTTAGCCTTGTAAGTCTACAGGTACATATGCATAATTTGCATTTGTTGCGAAATGTATTAATTAAAGGTGAAACTTCTTTTGGCAGCTCATATTTCTGAGAACAATGAAATAGCATTGTTTTGCAATGAGATCTGTATTTGGAAATTATAGGCTACTCTTGGTAGTAAAACAGAATGGTTTGGACCAGACCTATGAATACTTAATTATACAACAGATTGCAGAAATATGACAAAGTGTACAGCTTAAGGCGAGTGAGATTAACATAATTTGAATGTAAAAAAAAAACACTAGTTATTCTTGTACCACTCGATGCTGGACTGTTCTCGCCTTAAAGAACCCCAGGTGGTCAAAAGTTCCTGAGCCCTCCACTAGGGCGTCTCTTATAAGTCATATGGTGGTTTTGGGACATTAAACCCCACATATCAATCAATCAATCGCCCGAGAATGATTCGAATACACCTATCTGAAACTTACAAATATGTAAGCAGGACTCTGCGGAACTCTTTCAAGCTTCCCACAACTGGAAGTTTGCACAAAAACATTATTCAGAAGCTAGAGCAGGCTCCACTCACTGAAATTGGGACCACTGTTCCTGGTTCAAACCTCGCGAATTTGTGGAGTTTTGTTTCTATGTTTAAACAGGGTATACTACTTTCGAAAAATCGTCAACTTAACAACAAAGCAAAAAAAATTGCCCGCAGCTTCCCTCGGGGGAACACTGAGGAGGATGCGGAGCATATAATTGGTTAACGGGGTGTTAAAGTGCGACTTACTTGAGTCGATGGCTAAATCGGTTAACGTGGTTGTGAAATGGGGTGTTAAATTGCGACTTACTTGGGTCGATGGCTAAATTGGTTAACGTGGTTGTAGGAGGGGGTGTTAAATGAGTGAACACGTACACACGTATGCGAAAGGGCGGCGCTGGTCGAAGGGACGTCGATCATTGTGTTTGTGGATTCGTTGGAATTCATTTCACCGCGACCTTGGACGTCGACGCGCCGTACAAACCAACCGACGAGCGGCAACTGAGTGAGCGAGCGCCGACCTTGAGTATATATACAGCACGACGGCGCCTGCACTGTTGAATGTTCTCGAAGCTGTTGAATGTTCTCGAAGCGCGACGCCACATGCGCGTCCACTGGAGAATCAGGAGAATTGTAGATGTCGAACGCGGTGTGTAGAGGAGGAAGGGTGCACAGATGGTGGAAGAGTGGGCGACGGCGCGACGGCGCATGCGCGCGCGTCAGCTGTCGAATGTTCGAGAAGCGGTGCGGACGGCGCACTACAAGGCGCGAGTATAAGATGCTTCCGCATCTAAAATAATTGCATGCACGAGAATATGGAGGAAGCTGAGGCCGTGGACTACTTCAAGTCGGATGGAACGGGGAGGGGGGGGGGTGTAGGAAGATGGATCTCTGCCCCCCCGCAACGGAAGCCGTTGGGACATTGTCCAGAGTCATAATGATGATTCCTGGGGTTTCAAGGCACACAACCACGACATGCTTATAAGAGATGCCGTAGGGGAGCGCTCCGGAAGTTTTGACCATGTGGTGCCCTCTAACGTGCATCGACATAGCACAGTGAATGGGCCTCTACAATTCAGCCTCCATCGCGATGCGACCACCGCGACAGGGATTCGAACCCGCGACCCACGGATGAGCAGACGAGTGGCACTTTAGCCACTGCTCCACCACGGCGGACAGTCCCGATGGCATTTCATTGTGTGGCGGCATTCCTGTGCCAGTAAGTGTCTTCCGTTAGGGTTCAAAACGCACGCCCGTTTGATTTCGGAAGGAACACATCGAAGCTAACAATAGCCAGCGGGACGCCAACATAAGAGGAAACGGAAGTTAGGCATGCGGGGTGATTAGAATAAAAAAAAAACGGAAGCAAACTTCCGGTCCATCGTCGAGGCCTCGGGCGACCATAAGAAAATTCTCCACCACCACATTCGTTCCTTAAAGAAAAAAAAATTATTTACTTTTTACTCCGTTTCCTGGCGGGGAACACTGGCCACACCTCTATGTATGCGATAAGATAGCGTGACGTTTCAAAGCACTCAGCCAACACTATTCCCCTAAGCGTAGATCTAGTTCTAGTACGCGAACTTTCTTCGCGTATTGGAACACGCGCGCCGCTTGTTGTATTTACTCGCAGAACGTCAACGATCGAGTGCAGCAGCCTTGCCTACAATACGCGAACTTTGTGGAAAAAAAATAAAAAACGAAGTGCATATCGTAGACGACTCCCGCGAAAACGACTTTCTAATACGCGTCGCTCCAATAGCTGGTGGATGGCAATTTACCAAAACTGCGGCAACTGCGGCGCAGTAACCAAAACGCATCGCGCTCATCGACCACGTTGCTTCAGTCATAGAGCGTGATTCGCTGAGCCACACATTCGCTAAACGGAAAAAACAAATGCAGCGGCCACCATTTGGCATGCGTTGTTTTTGACACGTGTGACAATAGGTGGCAACACGGGCCTATACAAAGCGGGAAAATGTGCTATTGTTAAGTTTTTTTTTCTTATCCTTGTGTGTCGCGACCCCGAGTGGCATGTTGCTATTAGAACGCCGAAGTTAGAGTAACTACAGAACAAAAAAGACACACATTAAAACACAGAAATTTACTACCAAGCACACTTAGAAATAAAAAAAAATATTTTCCAAAAGCATTCCTATTTTGTCGAAAAGCGGGTGGGCTACGGGAACGCCTTTTCTTCGAGGAAAGCTTTCTTTTCCTTGCAAAGCCGGGCTGATGTTTATATTCCTTTTCTGCGGGTGGTATAATAGGTGAGCGTTTAAAGGTTTCACGTACCTTTGAGGACGGGTGGGGGTATGTAAAGACGGTACACTTCGCCAGCTACAAAGAAGGGGAAGCCGCGTCGGGTCGTGAAGTTCAGAGTCACGTGGTTTTTCATGTATCTACTAAAATTCCCCACTTATACATTCACTGGCCTACTTCGAGGAAGGCCACGCTTAAGCCTACAACTAAGTGGTATCCGAGGCACACGTGCGCAATTGTTGGTTCTCTGAAAAGCGGTAACGTTCGATCGACGCCGACACGTTCCTGAACGCGGCGGCATATCTGAGTTTGTAAACCCACAAGCGAACGCACAAACAGCTGTAAGCAGGACGCATCCACTATTTGCCTGAGTAATGAACTAGCTTACAATATTGCCGCAGGCATTCGTTTGGACAAGAGACGCATAGGCATGTTTGGATTGAGGCTGATGGAATTTGACCTTCCACAATTACGACACGTATACATATCACAAACGAAAGAACAGAGGAATGGGCGGCACGTTACACACTCTGCAACATTTGAAAAGGGAAGCCTGGTCTTGTCTCTGTGTCGTCGTTTTGTTCTCGCGCTATAACTATCGTCATGCCATACCAACTAGCCCAAGCTGCCACACTTCTGACACACTTAAAGCTGCACTGGCTTGCACGACAGGAAAGCAGGCTTGCTGCACTTAACGAACCGCGAAGTTAGAAACAAGCATTATATTACCTTGACGTTTCCAGTCGATAGCACGTTTCTCCCTCCTCCCTAAAAGCTTTTCCCGCCCTCGCGTGGTGATGCATTGACTACGGGATCGGGACATCTTTCAGTGATCGACGATGGCAACTGCCGAAGTTGTCATGGGATGTCACGTTACACGGTAGCATCGCGCAACGCTACAAACTTTGGCGATCAGTGAGGTCACGGCAAGCCACTCGGCTAACTGGGAGTTTTGCAGAGCCTCGCACACATGTCTCGCTGAGGCGACAGCCAAAAAACCTACTTAAGTCAAAAGGACTCGCTCTTCGAAGCGAGTCGCGATTCGGAACGCTTTTTCGCGCAATCGCTCCAAATTATAAGAAAGACAACGAGGGGACGTCATCTCTCAATGCCTGCCCTCTCCTTTTTTTTTTTCATACTAACTACCCGAATGAAACGATGACCAGCTTTAGGAGCACGTCATCTGCTTAGCTCCCACAAGGCCTTGACCTCTGGAAGGCTCGTTCAAATCTACCTCTGCCAGCGCGTCTCCTTCGCAACGTCTCGCTCCTGCAGCGCAGCTACTAAATTGATCACTGCGGACGGAAGATACAAAATAGAAAAAGAAGCAACCACAAATTGCAACATCAACAAAAAAAAAAGAATAACCCAGAAGTCCCTCCCATTTAAAGGTCCCACCAGGGAGGGGAGGAGGGCACCACCTGTTCTGGTTTCGCTTCGGGCAGCGGCAGCTGAAAGCGACTCACCACCGCCTGTGTCGGCGCGCGGCGGCCATTTTTAAAGTTTCCGGCCATCGCCGAAGAGTCCTGTCCTTCCGCCGACTGTTAGCGCACGCCTCCCCTCTGACACCAGGTGTTGCGGTAGTGGCGACACCGTCGCAAACGCTGCCGTATATTCTACTGGCGCTGCAGTCCCTGTGGATGCGTCGGTTCAGC